GGCGGGCGCATGCGGGCGGTGCCATTGGGACCTTCCGTGGAGCTCCTTATGGGGCCACGAACGCAGGGAACCAGGGCTGTGCTGGGTGGTGGCGGACGCATGCGGGCGGTCCCATTGGGGGTTTCGGTGGAGCCTCTTATGGGGCCACGAAGCGCTGTGCTGGGTGGGTGAAAGCATGGAAAAAGGAGGAGGGAGGGGAGGAGGGGGAGGAGGAGGCGAGGAGGAACGCGGGAACCGTCTTTTCAAAGCGAGGACTCAACAACACAGGTTGGTTGGGAAACAAATCTCCTGGCTATTTCCAAACCATCCTGTGGTGTTGGGTCCTCGTTTTAAGGAGGCGGTCCCCGTGTCTCTTCCTCCCCCTTCTCCTCCTCCTCCTCCTCCTCCTCCTCCTCCTCCGCCTCCTCCTCCTCCTCCTCCTCCTCCTCCCGTGCCCCCACCCAGTGAGGGTACCACATGCGTCCGCCACACCCAGTACAGCGCTTCGTGGCCCCATAGGGAGCTCCACGTAAGGCCCCAGTGGAGGTACCACATGCGCCCGCCACAACCAGTACAACGCTTCGTGGCCCCAAAGGGAGCCCAACGTAAGGCCCCAGTGGGGGTACCACATGCGTCCGCCACACTTAGTACAGCGCTTCGTGGCCCCATAGGGAGCTCCACTTAAGGCCCCAGTGGGGGTACCACATGCGTCCGCCACACCCAGTACAGCGCTCCGTGGCCCCAGGGAGCTCCACGTCAGGCCCCAGTGGGGGTACCACATGCGTCCGCCACACCCAGTGCAGCGCTTCGTGGCCCCATAGGAGCCCCACCCAAGGCCCCAGTGGGGGTGGCCACATACGTCCGCCACACCCAGTGCAGCGTTTCGTGGCTTGGTAGGGAGCTCCACGCAAGGCCCCAGTGGAGGTGGCCACACGCGTCCGCCACACCCAGTACACCGCTTCGTGGCCCCAATAGGTAGCTCCATCGGAGGCCCCAGTGGGGGTGGCCACATGCGACCGCCACACCCAGTACAGCGTTTCGTGGCCAGTGCGACCGTCTGCATGCGTCCCGCACACCCGTACCTAGTACAGCGCTTCGTGGCCCCATAGGGAGCTCCACCGAAGCCCCCAGTGGGACCGCCCGCGTGCGTCCCGCACGCGCAATTTGACATTTTCACCCACCCAGTACAGCGCTTCGTGGCCCCAATAGGGAGCTCCACCAAAGCCCCCAGTTGGACCGCCCACATGCGTCCCACACACCCAATTTGGCAGTTTCACCTACCCAGTACAGCGCTTCGTGGCCCCATAGGAAGCTCCACCAAAGCCCCCAGTGGGACCGTCCGCATGCATCCAAGAAATCCAACTTGGCACTTTCACCCACCCAGTACAACGCTTCGTGGCCCCATTAGGAGCTCCACCAGAGCACCCAGTGGGACCGTCCGCATGTGTCCCTGAAACCCAATTTGGCATTTTCACCAAAAGGTGGTCGCACAATAGTTTTCTCACTATCAATGACCGTGCCGCTGTCCTCGAGTTTTTCGTATTTGGTATTTGTTATCGTGTTTTTGCTGTCTACATGCCACACGGTGGGATGGATGACGACTATGTTGACGCTGTATACGCCATATTGGACGAACTGTTGCGCAACGCGAACATGAGTCGGTGCCGAGTGTTGCTGGCCGGAGACTTCAACGCGGAAGTGGGCCCCCGGACCGTGGACTACGATGACGACATCATGGGCGCAAACAATATACGTTGTCGCAACGACCGAGGCGATGTACTGTTCCAGTGGTGCGTAGACAACAAGTTCGCACCTGCCAACACATGTTGGGGAGACAACGAGGAACAGTTGTGGACGTACTTGAACGGAGGGGTCGCCAAACACATTGATTACATTGTAGTGCCCGTGCGATTTCGTAGTCGTAGGGATGTACGATGGTGTGGCACTGTTGACTGGATGGACACGGGTTCAGATAACAGGGCGCTCTTACTCCGCATGGTTGTTTACCATGATATTCCCCGGGAGAAGAAGGCCCATGCACCCAAGTGGGATAAGACGGTGCACAAGAAGAAATATGGTTTAATCCTCGATGCTTCGTCCGATGCGTTTCCTGCTCATGTGTCCGGCGAAGACCAAAAGGCAACTTTCCTGGAAAGTTCAATGCTTGACGCCGTGAAGCAGGCGTTGCCGAAGAGGAAACACGACCGCAGCATGACTCATACGGCAGAACATGCAGAAATCGATGCGTTAATTCGTGAACGCCGAGTGCTCCGTAGGCGACAAGACCTGACCAACGCCGAGAAGAAGAATAAAAGACCCGTCCTGAGCAAGAAGATCAAAAAACTCGTCCGGAAAAAGATTGAATCCGAGAAGACGGCCATTATCGACAAGATGCTCGGTGACTTTTGCGGGGTATTTCGGCTACCACAGATAGGGCGCGCACAGAAGAAGGAGCACATTGCCAGCATAGTTGACGAAAATGGCGTGGAACACAATTCAAGAACTGGCATTGCAGAAGTATTTGCGTGTTTTCATGAGAGATTGTTTTCTTCTCGGAATCGGGATATTCGGCGCCCAGGCAGAGGCTCTGCAATCCCAGACTTTACGAAGTCAGAGCTGGAAGATGCTTTCTCCAGCATGAAATCCGGCAAATGCTCAGATGATTCCGGCGTGGTTGCAGAGATGCTCAAACACAGTGGCCATAAGTAAGTTTGGTTGCCTCATGTTGGACACCTTCAACGAGATCATTCAGCCGGAGGCCGAACCGCCAGACAGGTGGCGGAAAACACGCCTCGTAGTCCTGTTCAAAAAGGGTGATCCGAACCTTCCGAAGAATTACCGGCCAATCGCAATCTTGCCGACCATGTATAAGGTATTCGCGAAGATGTTGTGTAACAGGCTCCAACCAATCATCATTGCAGGGCAATCTGCCGATCAGGCTGCCTACAGGAAGGGGTTTTCGACTACAGACCACTTGCTTGCTGCCATTTTACTGATCAAGGGGTGCTCTGAATGGAACGTAGATATTTGGTTTGGCTTAGTTGATTTCGAGAAGGCGTTCGACACGGTCGACCATGCTGCTTTGTGGGATGTCTTACGCGAGCTTGGTGTGGACGATCCATATGTTGCTTTACTGCAGAAGCTATACCGCGACCAGACGGCTGTTGTTTTTGCCGGAGAGGCGTCTAGAATATCCAACGTGGAACGAGGCGTAAAGCAGGGAGATCCGCTAAGCGCACTACTTTTCATCGCTGTGATGGAGGTGTGCTTCCGGAAATTGAAGCAACGCTGGAATGGGCTTGACAAGAGACGGCTGGCTCACTACTATGGCATGGTCGTTGATTCGCCCGGTGATCCGCTCACAAATTCGCGTTTTGCGGACGACGTGCTCCTTGTAGCCCTAAGCAATTCAGACGTCGCAAAGATGTCGTCCGACCTCAAGGCAGAAGCATCAAAATATGGTTTAAAGGTTCATATGGGCAAGACGAAGGTGCTCACGAACACTTCTGGACGTATACCTGCATGCGTACGCGTTGGCGGTGATGATGTGGACGTAGTGCCCGTCACGGGAGCAGAGAGGCATCTTGGGAGACAGTTCTGCATGGGCAACTTCCACGAAGTAGAGTTTGCGAACAGACTCAATTCAGCTTGGCGGTGTTTTTTCCCAAATTCAAATACATTGTATGCTCTCGATAATTTCCGTTGAAGTCCCGGCTCAAATTCTTTGACGCTGTCGTGACCCCGACGGTTCTGTACGCATGTGAATGTTGGACTTTGACGCAGGGGTCCAAAGATAAGCTACGGACAACGTGGCGAAAGATGACCAGAAAGATCTTTCGGGTTTTATGCGCTGCTGACGAAACGTGGGTATATTATATTCATAGAGCAACCAAGAGAGTGTATTCGAAGTGCGCCGAATGGGGGCACGTCAATTGGGCGGCGGCTCAAATGACCAGAAAGGCAACGTTCGCAGAGAAGGCGTCCCAAGGGAACCCGGACAATTAAGTGGAGCTGCAGACGGCTCAAGTGGAAACCGTGGTTCCGATGCCAACCCAAACGACGAGTCGGACGGCTTCATCTACGTTGGCAAGATTCTCTTGGTGAGCAGGAGCAGTAGGTAGTGCAGCCTCTGTCCTCTCTCTCTCTCTCTCCTCCTCCTTCTCCTTGTTTAGTCTGATCAGTTGCCACGTGTATCTTCTGTCCACGCGCGCAGTCTCCCACGCGTGCTGTACAGTTATGTCCCGCCTGCCCCTCAGGGGACCGCTCCGCCGGAGCTGGCACGCAGGCTGAATTGAAACTGACATGAACAGTGCAGCGCTTCGTGGCCCCATAGGGACCTCCACCAAAGCCCCTAGTGGAACCGTCCGCATGCGTCCCGGACGTCCAATTTGGGAATTTCACCCACCCAGTACCGCTTCGTGGCCCCATAGGGAGCTCCACCGAAGCTCCCAGTGGGATCGCCCGCATGCGCCCCGGAAGCCCAATTTGGCATTTTCACCCACCCAGTGCACCGCTTCGTGGCCCCATAGGGAGCTCCACCGACGGCCCCAGCGCTACCGCCCGCATGCGTTCCCCCCCACCCAGTGCAGCGCATCGTGGTCCCATTTTGGGAGACTCACCGAAGAAGATACGCACAACTGCGGTACCCACAACTGCATATGGTTGGGGACCTCCGCCGGGATCGTGATTGACTATTTCCGAAGATCCCTCCTGTAGAGGGACAGCCCTGACTCCGGATCCGCCCTACTTTGGGGAAATTCGTAAGTAGGGTTTGGACTTTCCGCCTTGCTGTTCAAGCCCGCCTGATGCCAATTTCCGCCCTACTTTTCTGTTGTTGTTTCCGCCCTATTTCTGTGGATGTTCGCCCTATTCAATGATGGGTTCAGAAATTTCCGCCCTACTGTTTCGGCTTCTTATACGTGGATGTCCGACGCAATTCTAAGTTGGAAAAAAAAAAACCAAAGTAGGGCGGATCTGGAGTCAGGGAGGCCCGACTTATTTAAGTCCAGGGGAGATCGCAGGAACTTGGCGACGACGCCGTGGAGGCGAGGGTCCGGAGCTTCCGGCTGCACCGCGCCGTGCCCCGGGAGCTGCTGGCCAGAGAGGCCGCCGGCCGCTCGGGCCAGCCCCGAGCGGTCGAGCCCATTCGTCCTCATCCTCCTCCTCCTCCTCCTCCCTCCTCTCTCCTCCTCCTCTCTGCTCCTCCTCCTCCTCCTCCTCCTCCTCCTCCTCCTCCTCCTCCTCCTCCTCCTCCTCCTCATCTCCCTCGCCTCCTCCGCCTCTCGAGCCCCTTGCTAAGCCCACTCGGCGCTCGAGCCCATTCGTCCGCCAGACTATGGCATCACACAGGGTGAGGAGAAGCACGCACCCAGACATCGGGCGTCTCGAAAAAGTCGAGACAGAGGTTTTTCCTAGTTTTTGGCCTCTCGGGGCCCTCGCCGGGCCTCGGGACCGTCAAAAAACGACTCGGGATGAAAAACCGATCCCAGGGAAGTGGTCGTGAGGTCGGGGGCCCACGTCTCGAAAAAATCGAGACGTCGGGTGTCTGGGTACCCATACCGCTACCCATGGGGGTCCCTCCTCGCCGCCAGGGCCGGATGCGCTTCGAGGTCTCGGTGGGATCGCACCCCAGGAGGTGTCAGGGGAGTCTCGGTGATCATGGGTATCTGTATTTTCTCCTTCGAGCCCAATTCGCTGCCGAGCGGGCCAACTTCGCACCAGCCTGTCGGAATTGAGGCCCGTTCTGAAGTCCATTCGGCGGCCGAACGGTCTCAGAAGGGAACTGGGGTCATGAAGCCAGGATCAGATCGATCGATTTCTGAGGGTGCGGGTAAAGGCTGTGGACGCTTTTCGCCTGTTGGGGGGCGACTCCATGGGCTTTCTCTTCGCTGGCGGAAGCCGGCGGAAGGGCGGCGGAAGCCGGCGGAAGTCAGAGATGCGCCTCCAAGAGACGAACAAAGTTTTGGGTTCGGGGTTTCCGGAATCCGCCACATGTGCGTTTATAAATATTGTGCTAGCAGGCCATTTTTTAGAACTAAGCTGCTTGAGACTACGCGTGGGCGCGACTAGCGGTCGTGGACTCATTCGACGAACTCTTCCACCACGTCTTGGAAAGCACATCTGGTAGGAAGAGGAGGAAACCCGGAAGATTCGGCAGAGAGTTCCCTGCAATCTGGGCGCGAACGGGCCCGTGCAACACCCCTAGTCGGCACTACCTCGAATAGCCCAAGTGTCATGCTTGCTACATCGCGGTGACCGGCTCTGAGTTGAGACCCGTCCATTTGGCTGAAACAAGCGTTTAGCCGGAGAGGACCCCACAATCTGGGCGCGAACGGGCCCGTTCAAAACCCATCGGTCGGCACCCGCTTGGATGGCCCTAATGCCGTGCCTGCTGCATCGCGGTGGCCATGGGGCTCTGGAAGTGGACTCGCCCACTCTGCCGAAGCAGGCGTTCTTCCTGAGAGGTCCCCGCGAACTGGTCTCGACCGGCCCCGCGGAGCACCCCGGGTCGGCACATCCCTTCGGTGGCCTGGCTGGGTGCCATGCCCGGTTCGTCACGGAGGCCATGAAGCTCCGAGAAGAGACCCGCCCACTTCGCCTGCGAGGCCCCCACGATGAGGGCGCGACCAGGCCCGTGCGACACCCCAGGTCGGCAACCCCTTGCAGGGGCCGAGTGCCTCGCCCGTGTACATCGCAGCGGCCCCGCCGCACACCACTCGGCCCGACTTGCGACCAGCTCGCCGCCGACGCCGCAGATCGTCGACTCTTTCCCCATATCTCCCATAAGCAGTGAGGTCGGTGATGTTTCACACCGTGGCCCCAGAGATCCGACGTCGTGATTTTTGTGAAAAACTTCCGCCTTGATTTTTTCAATACGCTGGAGGGAGGAGGGAGGAGGGAGGAGGGAGGAGGGAGGACGGTGGTGTGTCACACCGTGGCCATCCTGTCAGGGCGGGGCCCGTTGCCGTGGAGGCTGGCCCGCAGCCGGCCCCCGGCGGAGCTCCCGGCACCGACACAATTACCGTCCTCCTCCTCCCTCCTCCTCTCTCCTCCTCCTCCCCTCCTCCTCCTCCTCCTCCTCCTCCTCCTCCTCTCCTCCTCCCTCCTCCTCCTCCTCCTCCTCCTCCTCCTCCTCCTCCTCCTCTCTCCTCCGCCTCCTCCTCCCTCCTCCTCCTCCTCCTCCTCCTCCTCTCCTCCTCCTCCTCCTCCCCCTCCTCCTCCTCCTCCTCCTCCTCCTCCTCCTCCTCCTCCCCCTCCTCCTCTCAGGAGGGGAAGAAGCACACAGACACAACGAATCGTCCACTCCCAGGAAAAGATGGGAAAATATGGGAAGTGGGGGGGAAGACAGAAGCCCAGAAGATATGGGAACATATGGGGAGTCCAATTCTTTGTGTGTATTTATTTGTGTGTCCCAGGGCCCCCTCAGACGTTCCCCCCCCGTGCCCCGGTGCACTCGGCGTACACAGACTTGTGATGTTCAGACCTACTTCAGCCTTGGTCATCAGACAAAAAAAAAATGCTGCGCCAGAAAAGGACCCCCCAAAACTCAGGGTTTTCATGTGTCGGGCCCTGGGGGACGCTCGCCCGACACTGTTTCGACATGCTTTCGACACTCTTTTGACACTTTTCCGGGTGCTCGAAATGATTTCTGGGATGCGGTCCTTAAGTAGGATGGGAGCAACATAAACATAGACGGCTGTTAGATTTAAGCCGGGCCTGTCCCTCTACAGGAGGAATATCAAAAAGTAGTCAACAAATAGGCAGGGGGCGATTTATTTTTACCAGTCTGGACTCTGTTTGATTCTTTTAGGGCTACTTTTTATTTTGTCGTCAGAAATCCGCCTATAGGAGGACATGCCCGACCCAATGTTGGACTCTGCCTCGGCATGCTGGGCTACTTCGCTAGCTCCCCAGGCCCCCTCGCGTCGTCTGAAGAGCACGACAGAAGACGCTTCACAACGCTCTGCTTCTGGGGGCCTTCACTGGGCTCCAGCGCCGTCGAGCAACGACCCCTTCGGTAGCAAGTCATGGGAATGGGAGCCTCGTGTACCATCCGAGTTCCGCCTCTGGCGTCGATTCGCGTCGAACAGCGTCTGGCAATCAATGAGATAGCGCCGATCTAGCGTCCATTAGCGCCGGCTAGCGTCGATCAGCGTCGATTTGGCGTCGATCACCGTGGCTTTAGCGTCGATTAGCGTCGGTCAAAAAAATGGTATGGGAAGCTCCCACGAGTTGCCACCGAAGACTCAGGATAGAAGGCCGGTCACGGGGAAGTGGTCGAGACTTCTGGGAGTCCACGTCGTGAAAATGGCACGGCGTCGGGGGTTGGGGTCCGCACCAGCGTCTGCGTCTACGACGGAGGTGTTGGCCCACTCGGGGTTCAGCATCCATGCGCCGTGTCATGACTCGGCATGCCCGACTTGTGCACGTGGGTGGGCTTGGAAGGTAGGGCGTTCCGCGCGACAGGTTCCTTGCCCTCCTCCCCCGCCCCTTGGCCCTCCTCCGCCCCCCCCCGACGACGACCACCAGGATCACGGCCACGACGACAGCGACCATGGCAGCCAGGTATGATCAGGTGTGCTGACCCTGCTCCGACGGCGGCCACGACGACGAGGGCGGCGGCGGCGACGGCGGCGACGACGACGGTGACGACGACGGCAGCGGTGACCATGACAACCTCACCGACGACGACGGCGACGACGACGACGACGACGAAGACGACGGCGACGGCGACGGCGACGGCGACGGCGACCGCGCTGGCCGTCGGCGACGGTGGCGGCGGCGACCACGGCGGCGGCGAACAAAGTGTCTACGCCCCCCCACGGAGGCCCTGGAGCGCCACGTCGCGCAGGCTATCTCCACCAAGGTGGGCGAGATGGCGTCTAGGAGCATCACGTGGTCTCCTCCTCCTCCTCCTCTTCCTCCTCCTCTTCCTCCTCCTCTTCCTCCTCCTCCTCCATATCCACCACCTCCTCCTCCGCCTTTTCCTCCTTCTCCTCCTCCTCCTCCATATCCTCCTTTTCCTCCTCCTCCTCCTCCTCCTCCTCCTCCTCCATATCCGCCCTCCCCTCCTCCATATCCTCCTCCTCCTCCTCCTCCTCCTCCTCCTCCTCCTCCTCCTCCTCCTCCTCCTCCTCCATGTCGTCCTGCTTCACTAAGGTGGACGAGATGGCGTCCAGGAGCCGTTGCGGTTTCTGACTTGGAGGGCCAAGCCTACCCGATTCTAGAAAAGCCACATCGGGGGCCGATGCCAAATACCGTTCTCACGTCCTAGCCAAGAGCGTCTGTGGACACACTGGGTGCCGTCACGTCCATCGACACTTTCAGGGTGGATACGCCTATGGGCATCGTGGCCGTTGCGTTCGGCGCGGTGCAAGGGCGGAGAAAGGGTAGATCCGTCTACAATATGCTCCTGTTCGGTAGCAGGTCCCACATGGTACTCCAATCTCTGCCCCGCCATCCCAGCACGGTGTCGGAATCAGCCTCCCCCCGCGCGTGTCACAAGGGCGCACGGCGTGCTAGTTCTCTGAATTGTTTTAAGCTGTTCCAAGAGGTTCCCAGTTGCCTTCGGCGCATCCCTCCAGCCATACGGACAGATGAGTGCGAACTGGAAAACCGCTTAGAAACGCCCGTAAGACTGCCAAGACGCTTCCAAGGCAGCCAAAATGGCCCCCAAAGAGCCCGATATGGCCCCAAGATGCATCCAAGATGTCCAAAATTGCTTTCAAGTCGGCCAACATTGCCTCCACGTACGTCGGCCCAAGATGACTCCAAGACGGCCAGCGATGCCCTACGGACGACCCAAGAGGCCCCCAGGACGTTGCGAGGAAATTCCAAGAGGACTTCCAGGAAGCCAGTTCTCACCATCTCGGGCTTCCGACATCCGACGACGGCCCCAAGATGGCTCCAGTACGGCCTCAGAAGTCCCCAATCAGGCCCTCAGGCTGCCCAACATTCCCCCAAGAAGGCCCACCTTGTCGTACAGCGCCCGCAGAGCGCTTCACGACGGCCCAGAGAGCCCCCATTGAGACACTTTCTGAAGGACCCTTGGGGGCCCCCAGAGGCCCCCAACAAGCACCAACAGGCTGTCACAAGCGCCACCCATGAGGCCCCAGGAAACATCCTTCTCCTCCTCCTCCTCCTCCTCCTCCTCCTCCTCCTCCTCCTCCTCATCTCTATCCTCCTCCTCCTCTTCCTCCTCCTCCTCCTCCTCATCCTGCTCCTCCTCCTCCTTCTCCTCTTTTTTTTGTTTTGTTTCTCTCTCTCTCTCTCTCTTTCTTTTCCTCTGCCTTCTTTGTGCACCGGTTCCCGCAGCATCTCATCCACGACCTCTGCCTGCACGCGATGTGAGGCCACGGCCTCGTGCGCCCTGCCCCGAAGGGCGCGGGCACACCCGTGGGCCCGACTCCGGCGCGGTCGCTTCGCTCCGCTTCGCTCTCTGCTTCTGCCTCTTCCACTGGGTGGATATGGCATCCGATGCAAATCTGTGGAAAAGTCTCGAGGACGGCTTTCTCGACTACATGGAGGACTTCCTTCTTCTCCCTCGAAGAGTCTCCAACATCCATCTCTCCGATCTCTGCTCGCAACACGTCTTCTGAGGGACCCGGCCCCCCCGCGCTGCCCTCGTAGGGCCGGTCCCGCTGGACCGACATCGCGCGCTCGTCTCTCTTCTGCCTCTTCCTCCCACATGTGCCCCCAAAGGGTTCGCACAGGGGCTAGGGGGAGCACGTAGCCCAATGGTTTGGCAAGATTTCGGCTCGGCGTTTGACCGCATAGGCGCACTCAAAAGGCAGGGGGTGACTCGTTTGCCGCACGCGTCTCCGTTGGTTAGAGATGTCTTTAATGGAAGGAGACGATCTCCATAATGAGGGTTGGTTGAGACCTTCATGCTCAAAGCTGCCAGGGAGCAGGAGGCATACCTATGGGCAAGTCAAGGCCCTCCAGGAGGACGTACAGATCTCCGAGGGAGCCGAGTGGGATCGAGGTTTTTCCCAGTTATCCGTTGGTGATGCGTCCTCGTGTTGATACGCGCAGCGCCCCGCGTCCTCACCTCCTCCCCCTCATCGCCCGTCGTCATCATCAAGCACCGCCATCACCAGCAGAATTTTCATCCTTATCATTATCATCATCATAATCAGCATCATCCTCCGAATCATCATCCTCACCATCAGCAATATCATCACCATCCGTTGCCATTATGGCTCAAGTTCAAAGTTTTCGCCCTGGCGGTTGAAGCTTGTTCGCAGCCGACGGGGTAGCTCAGGCGGTTGCGGCTTGGAGGGGGCAGGCCCCAGATCTCTTGTTTCATCGCACCTCGCACACACTGTTTCACGTCTCGCTCTTCGCATTGTGCCATGGCGGGCGAGGCTCCTTCTGCTTGGGCCCAGGCCCTGATCGCGTCGGTCACTGGCCTCGACTCGACGCTGCAGCAGAACCTAGGGGTACTCAGGAGCACCATCACGACAATGAAAGAGGACTTCACCCAGATGGCCGCGAGGCTCGACATCCTCGATCATCCTCGAGGCTAGCGTGGCGCCCTACCAGCACCCAACGGACGCGATGGAGGACGTCGCGAAGGATGAAGAGCAGCAGGTGCGCATCAAGCGTCTTGAGGAGTCCATTGGGAAGATCGAGACCATGCTCGTCGCGGTGACGGGCCAGAGCAGCGGTTACAGTAGTAGTGGGCCGCCTTCGAGTCGTCGCTGTCTGCTCAGCCCCGGCCCCACGAGGTCGGGCATTTCATCTCGCGCGTCCAGAGCATCAACGAGTGCGGATGCTCAAGAAGGTGCAGCTCGTCTCGTTCCACCGGGATTTCCTCGCCCACTCATGGGGGCTACGCCGCGGCAGGCCGCGGGGATGGTGAGGGGCAAGTGCGCCCCGACGGACCAGCAGGAGCGGGTAGTGATCAAGGCTTTGGACGAACCGCATGGCCATTTACGAGTTCGGCTCGGCGCTAGAGGCGTCGGATTTCCCATCGAGCTTCCAGAAGATCGAGAACGCGACGCACCCTGGCCCGAAGGGCAACGGCGGGCTGTTCTCACTCAATGTGCGCCGCGACATGGACGTCAAGAGTCGCAAGCTTTCCCTTGCGATGGGGAAGGTCCGCCAGAGGCTAGACGCGCTTCTTCGGGGCCGCTCCCTAGCGGGATCCAGCGGGCTTGGAGGTGATGCGCGCAAGCTTCGCAGTGCTGAAGACCCAGTGCGCGTGGCTCACCTTTCAGCGCTTGAAGGCAGCAGCGATGTCAATCATGATTTGCAGCAGAACTTCCTCTATGATTATGGCATCGGGGTTCAGGCGGCTGCGCTGCTGGAGGCCGCCAACACTGCGATGCGCCGGCCCTTTTGAGCAGTCCAGCAGCAGCCCTAACAGTTTGCAAATGCATGAGAGTGACCCGCGCTCTTGTCGCTTTTCTCCCCCCCCCTTCCTCTGGCGGCGCTTCGGGCAGCTCCGACGTGGAAGACGGCATTATGATTGCGGATTTCCCTGTCTCCCCCACCCGCTTCTTCTCGATGGCGACGAGGAATGCTCGCGCTCTTTTTGCGTTTGTGCAGTGTGGAGGGGACCTTGCAAGACAAGGGTGCGGGAAATTCGTGCGGTTCTGTGATATACATATATATACACATATATATATATATGGCATCATTTGCAGTGCAGGAGTGTCATGGGCATGAGGGGTATGCGGAGGGTCTCAGACAGCAGCTGCGGGGGGGCGACATCGGTGCCACGACGTGTGCGACGGCTGCTGAAGGGGGTAATCACGATTATCAGTAGCAGGTTGGCCTCAGGTTACACACGCATCTCTCATCGGCCATTGTATGATGGCCGAATTATTCTCGCTGGGTGCGTTGGCAGGGAGGGCGCTCTCTGCGTGGCCAATGTCCACGTGCCGAACGCGCGTCATGGGCGGCCTTACCGCCAAGTACTGACGCGCATCTGCAACGCGCTGCCTGCATCGACACAGTGCTTTAATATGATTGGGGGTGATTGGAACTTTGCATTGGAGGACGAGGGGAGACATGCAGATGGTGGGATGTGCTGGACGGCTGGGGGCAGGTGACGCACGCAATTTTTCGAGTCTAAATGCAGTAGGTGGGCGGAGCTCTACCGAGCGGACCCGACTCGGCATGGATGGGGCGGGGGGGGGGGGGGGGGGGGGGGGGGGGGGGGGGGGGGGGGGGGGTACGCGCGCTTCACGGTTGGGTCGAACCTGCGCTGATCTACCGCGCGCGCTGCTGTCCGACTTTACACTGCAGGCCAAGGTGTGGAATCGGCCTGGATGTTTCGAACCGTCCGATCACCTCCCTGTTGCTGCTGCGATGCAGAAGTCTGACCCCAGTCAGGCTCATAGGGTTCCCGATTGGCTCTGTCAGACCTCGGAGCATCGGCGGCTGGCCCAGGAGGCCCTCGAGGCCATTCCCGCTGACTGGCCCCCGCCCCGTCGTCTTTAGGCCGCGAACACGGCCATGCATGAACAGGCAATTCCCGCCGAGCGTCTACTTGCGAACGGGCCAGCAGAGACACCAGAGGAACAGCACTACTGGGCCATGTGCTCGGTGAGGGGTTGGAGGGCAGGAAAGTTTCAGGTTTTTCGCGAGGCTCTCCTCGCCCGCCCGGTGCCCCACCAGATATTTGACGCTGACAGAGAGACTTGCGTTGACTATGACGAGCTCTGAGAAAATGCTCGCTGGTGTCACTACAGAGTGCTGGAGTCGCGACTCTCCCGCGACGAGGCCACCGCCGCCTCGACGGGGCACGAGGGGGCTCAACGCGAGCAAGCCATCGGTCGGCTGCGCTTAAAGATGCAGATATGGAGGGGGATGCGACGACGGGTCGACTTGCGGGGGATATTGGACGAGGATGGGGCACTACGCAGTTCCGTGGAGGAGTCGGGGGGGGGGGGGGGGTGCATTGGCACTTTTTTCTTCGGGGGGGATCTTTGCCCCCGTGGAGGAGGACATGGGTGCGCGGGGGGAGCTTCTGCAGCACTGCCAGTCTGTGCGACAGCTTCGTGATGCTATCGGGTGGCGTCTGTGCGGGCATGAGTTCGGTGGGCTGGCTCGGGGCAAACGTAATGCTGCGCCTGGTCCTGGCGGCATTCTGCGCAGCTGCTGGAAAATCGGGCCCGCGGCGGGCATCGATGGGCGCGGGGTTGCCCATGCATGATGCAGGCTTCCCCTAAAACAGCTATTGATGCACAGCGTGGGGGAGTTGTGTGCGGGGGGGGGGGGGGGGGGGGGGGTGGGGGTATTATTGCCAACGTTGTGGAGGCGGAGGAATGGGGGATATCGCAGCGGCTTCGAGGCATGTCGAACTCGGTGATACTTCTCGCGGACTCAGCGGCCGCCTCCCTCGCTTCTTACTTCCTGGATCCTGATCGCGCTGAGCTCGATGGGCACCCCAACGCCCATTATCTGTTTTGCTGCTGCGCTGCATTCTGCCAACGCTGCGGCGATTGCACTTGCAGGGCAGCAACTTTCGACGATATCGGTCGGCAGAGGGGCCAGGCAAAAGGGGACCTGACCAGCACGTGTCTGTTTCCCTTAGCGTTGGACCCAGCCCTGCGCTGGCTCCCGTGGAAGGGGGGGCCGTCACATCGACAGAAACTTGGGGCGTGCGGATGTTTTTTTCGGATTGCGCGACATCTACTCGGGCCTTGCCCCGACGCTGCGTTTGGTAGGGCTGCTCGAGGCCTCGGTTGGCCTGAAGCTGAGCTTCGGGAAATGCCACACTATTAGCACGAATGCGATGACTATCGACCAGGCGAATGTCTTCCTGGATCGCCTACCGCAGCGATACCGCTCTCTTGGGGTGCTGCGGCATGCGAAGCACCTAGGAGTTGAGATAGGGCCCGACGGGCACATATTTGCCTGGGGTGAGGCTACTGCGGGGTTTCAAAGCCGCGCACGTACGCTCAGGAATATGGGGCTCGGTCTGGCCACTACGATTGCGATGTTCTCTTCCACCTGTCTCTCGGTGCTCTGCTGCATCCTGCAATTCTACGCACCATCGAAAAAAGTATTCAGGGCGTGCAGTGCCAGTCTCCAGTTGCTTGCTGCTGCCTTTCGCGCCTCTTTCTCTAACGAGATGCTGCGTGGCCTACGCACGCTTTGGCTACCCACTGAATTTCCAAGTCTGGTTCACTATGCTCGCGCCGTGCATTTGCGTGCGCTCATCACTTGTCCGTCATCTGCTCATGCTTGAGCCAGGCTTGAGAGTGTAGTCACTTACCAGAATCTGTGTAATGGGAGAGCGCATGATGTCTGTATGGTACGAACGTTGGGATGGTGTCGGAGGGAGTCTCTCTTGCATCATTTGTGTAGTCTGAATAATGCTTGCACGGAAATTGTGGAGTGCATCCCTGAGAGTTTCCCGAGTAAGAAGCTGCAGCGTTGTTTCTTTGCCGCACTTTGCTCACAGGGCCAGATTGACCTGGACAAGTGCCCAGAGTCTGGTCTGATGAAGAGAAAATCCTCGTGGCTGCCGCCGCCCTGTCCTACCCCCGTCGCCCAGATGATTGGCAAGATTCGCTACGCGGTGAAACGCACGAAGATGTATATCGGTCTCGCCCCTCTACGGATCGCGCGTCGTGGGATTTGCGCCACTTCGCGTTTCTAGTGTGCTCGGAGAGGCTGTGTCTTTCGTTGCCCGAACCCTGATGACGAAAGGATAGACTTGGACGACATGCTGCATTATGGTGTTTGCCTTCGGCTGAAAGAAATCTTCAGACGGTGGCTGGGGCAGGTTGTGGATTGTGACGACACTATTCCCTTGCTCACTCTCCCCGCTCCCACGCAGTCTGCTATGGCTGTTCTGTGCTATGCATATGTGTGCGAGGCTTTTTTTGCACACCCACTCCCACAAACGGCTGGGCAGTACTGTTGAGCCCGGTGCTTTTCTTGAAGCACGCATTCGGCTGCATTGCCGTAGGCATCGTGCGCTACAGAAGGCCTGGACACAATATAACTGCTGAGAGGAATTTCTGGTCTTACTGAACCTGGTTGAGAAAATCAGTATCATCACCATCACCATCATCAGCAGCAGCATCATCATCATCGCCGTCATCATAGTCGTCGTGGTCGTCATCGTCGTCATCATCATCACCGTAGAGGTAGAGACCCAGTCGTGCGTCTTGAGGGCCTGGGGATCATCAAGAAAACCGCGCCCAAGGGCCCGAACGTGCGAAAGTTCCTCCAGAGTCCGATGAACCCAGGAGAGTACTTGGGCCAGCCCCAGGGGCGAGGATAGAATCAGGAACGGGGCCTTTTTCTCAGCGCTGCCGCGCGAAATCTGGGGAGCCCTTCCCCTGCAGTCGCTTTGGCCAGTGGCGGCGGCGCTGGAACCGGAGCAGATCCGCGGACCAGCGCCGCCGCCGCGGCCAGCACCGACGCCCTCCGTGGGGGTCGGAGCGGCTGCACCCCCTTTCCGCGCTCTCGCGCCCCTCCATGCCCATCCGACGTTTCTCACCTCGGAGACTCTGGAGATTTGGGAGGTCAAAGTTGTCTCGGTCTCGGGGGGGTTTTCGAACTCTGTGGTCTCTTTAGTCATAGTGACACTGGCGTGAGTGGCGCCCTGAAGTCAGTCTTCGAGGGCCTCCAGAATGGTTCCCCTCCTGGAGCTTGGCCTCGGGGGGGGGGTCTGTGCGCAGGGGGCCAGTGCCATAGAATGCCAAATCAGTGGTTGTGCTCTTACTCGTGTGGTGAGTTAAGACACACCTTTTCATTGGCCAAGAGGTGTCAAGGCCGACAGATCCCAGTTCCAGGTTATAAGCGATCTCCTTGTCTTGACCTTGTGCTGGCCAGGGCGCTCATCTGGTGGATCAATGAATAAACCATCCTCTTTCCATCATCGTCATCACCATCATCCTCATCACCATCGCCATGAGCGGGACCACCATCATCAGCATCAGCGCCGTCAACATGATCCGCATCGTGGTCGTCGTTTAGCGTAAGCGTCATACTTACCAGCGTCATCATCACCATCACCATCATCGTCACCATTATCGCCATCACCACCATCGTTATCACCATCGCCGTTATCGCCATCATCAACATCGCCACCAGCATCATCACCATCACCGTCACCATTCACAACATCACCATACATCATCACCATATACGTGTCGAAACATCCTGGGCGCGCTTCGTAGCCCCTTGGGGAGCCCCACCGAAAGCCCGAGTGGCAGGGCTCGCGCGCGCGACTGCGCCCGTCCCGGTACGCCCCTCACACGCGTGGTTGCGCCTATTTCAGCACGCCGCTCACGAAGATCGGGGCCCAATGAGGAGCTGCACAGAAGGCCACAGTGGCAGGGCTCGCATGCGTGATTGCGTCCATGTCGGCACACACACACACACACACGCACACGCACACGCACACGCACAAACACACACACACACACACGCACGCCTCACGAGGAACGCGGCCTCATTGGGAGCTATACCGAAAGCCCCAGTGGCAGGAAGCACCAATGACAATGCTCCACCAAAGGCCCCAGCGGCAGACCCCTCGCGAGGACTGCGGCCCCATAGGGAGCTCAGCACGATGCCATATTGGCAAGGCTCGCATGCGTGACTGCGCCCATTTCGGCACACCCCTCACGAGGGTCGTGGCCCCATAAGGAGCTCCACAAAAGGCCCAAGTGACAGGGCTCGCATGCGTGACTGCGCCCATGTTGGCTCTCACACACACACACACACACCTCGCAAGGATCGAGACCCCGCAGGGAGCTACAGCGAAAACCGCAGTGGCAGGAAGCACCTGTGGTAGGGCTACACCGAAAGCCCCAGTGCATTCATGGGTGATCACCAACGCCACTGCCACACTCATCAACACCCGCGCTGCTCAAACAAACACGCCGTATGTGTTCGTTCGTTCAAATTTTACCCAGATGCATTTCCAGATGTGAAGGGCGTTGCTAAATTTGACCCTTTTGCCTGCCAAGCGGTTATCACGATGTTCGCTGCGAAGTCGCGAAGGATCATTTTCAAGTTGTTCGCTGGTGATATCCTGTTCCAGACGCTCCGTGTAACCCCACCAGCCCATCCAGGCACGACGCCCAGGCAAGCTGCCCTGATCAGGGATGTGGAGGAGCATGCAGTGGAATAAAGGGCTGGGTAAAGCGTCAAACCCAAAGAGGAGGAGGATGGAGGCAGAGCAGGAGAAGAAGGAGGAAGAGGAGGAGGAGGAGGTGGAGGAGGAGGGCGAGGAAGGAGGAGGAAGGAGGAGGATGAATAGGCGGATGAGAAGGAGGAGGAAGAGGAGGAGGAGGAGGGAAAGGAGGAGGGCGAGCAGAAATGCAGGAGGGCCTGTTGAATGCCTCTTGGGGCGTCTCGGGTGTCCTTTGGCAGTCCCGGGGGCCTCTTGGGGTGTCTTGGGTGCCTCTGAGGGGTCTCTTGGGGATCTCTTGGGAGCCTGTTGGGGACATCTTGGGGACATCTTGGGGGCTTCTTGGTGCCTCCTTGGCACCTCTTGGGGCTGTCTCGGGGCACCCTTGGGAGCCTCGGGGGCAATCTTGGAGGAGATCGATCAAAGGAGGGGCTGTAGTAAATTAGCCCCCCCCCTGGGAGGCTAAGCTGTTGCCAAAACCTTAGTGCGATCAATGCGTGTTGCCTTCTCCGCGAGGCCATCTTGGACACACTAACGCGTCGCGACCCCCTCCGTCAAGGGGGAGGGGGCAGGGGAAGACGTCAAGCTAACCTCTTACATAGCAGCCCGCCTAGATCGCTCCCACCCGCCCTCTCAGCACATCAGTAACACGAGTGTCAGCAGATCGCCTGGGAACGCCACGCATGCCATGCGCGCCACGGGTTCCACGTGTGCACTGGGCCCCTGGAGGCCCAATCGTGCCAGGTGCGGCACATGCTCCACGTGCGCCAACTGCGCCACGTGCTCCAGCCGCGCCAGGTGCGCCAGCTACGGGGAACCAAATGGGACCCGAGGAGTCTGGGGCCAGGGCCCCAAGGAGGTCAGGATCTTGAATGCCCCTGAAGCGAAGTGCCGAGCATTCTGTGAGAAGGGCGGCTGCTCCAGGGAGCGCAAAGCACCGACACCGACGGACAAATTGTGACATCTTGAGAAGTCGTGAAACACATGGGAGCTCAGAGACAAGAGGGTCCTGCCCATGCTCCAGATTTGCAGCCAAGGTGTATGCTGTATTGTTTTTGACAGGGATGGTTGGCCTGCGCGCAGTAAGCAACATGCGCCCCCCCCCGCCGTCCCTGCCAAAAGCCCATGCAAAGTGGTCGTGGGGTGCCCGCGCGTGCTCCGAATTGGGAGGCAAAGTGCACTGCGCATGGTGTTTTCAAGGGATGGTGGGGGCGTGTTCCAATTGGTCCAGGTTGGCTGCCAGTCGCCTGGGGGAGGGTTTTGTGTTGAGAGGGAACGCTGGTAAGCCCCTCTCCGAAGGAGAAGAAGGGGGGTTGGAAGAAGAAGCGTTCTAAACAGCTCACGCCCGAAAGGGCTGGTGGGATCACGTTCTGCGCATCAGTTTGTGTGTGGAGCGTTTCTCGGTTGAATGAGGGTACACATGCGGATCATTGGGCCGCGCCCCGCGTGTGATGTCGCGGCGGTTTGCCCGAATCCTTCGTGTGCCCTCTGCTGTCGAGGGTCGCCGCAGATGCTGATTGCGCTCATGTTCGGAGCCCCCGCAGGATGGCGAAAGAGTCATCTGACCGACTCGCACGGTGCGGACAGGACAAGTCGAGCAAGATGCGGGCCAGGTACGACGCTCCGCGCCCTGCACAAGGCAGGCACGGTGCGGACAAGGCGGCGCCGGCCCCCCGCCTCTTGCCTGCCTGCTCTCGCGCCTGGCTTGCCGCAGAAACGCAGCAGCACGGTCGTCAGCCCCGCGCCAGGCTGCTGCAGAGGAAGGCTAAATTCCAGACCCGCCGTAGCCCGCATGTCCCACCACGAAGGAGAAGAGGTCCTCACTCAGGGCATCGGGTTCGAAGTTTTCTCGTGGTCTGGTGCTGCCTGGGGCCCTCCACGGGCCCTGGGATTGTCAGAAAACGACCCAGGACGAGAATATGGTTCTGGGGGAAGGCCCCTGGGGTATAGGACCTGTTTTCCTCAGGACCTCCCGTTTGTTCAGCGGTCGGATCAGGTGCGAAGGTTTGGCGCAAGACGCGCACGCGCGGAGAGAGCCTGCGAATCCATCCGCAGCACTGGGCGCACGGCCACGTGACCTGACCTGACAGCCAGCCTGGGAAAGAGGGAGGGAGGGGAGGGCGGGAAGGAGGAGGAGAGGGGAGGAACCTCCGCGGACGACCCGTATGCACCTCACCGCGTTGGCGCCTCCCCGGGGCGCCGTCGACCCTCGGCTCAGGCATGGCACGGTGCACCGTCTTCCGGCCCCTCGGGGCCGAAAACTTGCGCGCCGCTCCGGGTCGGAGCGGGGCTCGGCGTTACAGCGGAGACCCCTGCCAAGAAACACCCTGCTTGCCTCCAGGGTGCCATGGGCTTCTTGGGTTTCGATGGTTGTGCGATGGAGAGCGCGACGTTCCCACGCCAAAAATTCATGGTCGTGGGGTCTCAGGGTTGGGTTTCTTGTGGGAGGCTTCTTGTGGACTGGTCTCCACTGTAGTCCATGCATGATGCAGCCAAGACGCTGCAAGAAGGGCCTCTTCGGGCTCAGGAGGGTCTTTGCTTTTCGTGCCGTTCCTTAGATCGAGGTCGGGGGCGCCCTGCTGGGCTGTCTTGCTGGGCTTGAGCCGTATTGGGACTCTTTTGGGGGGCCCTCTTGGGTGCCTCGTGGGGCCCTCTCGGGCCTGTTAGGGTTCTCTTAGACGGGTCTGGGGGCCGTCCAGGGACCGTCTTGGGCCGTCGTGGGGTCGAATTTTGGGGCCCCTTGGATGGTCATTCTGCGAGCTCGCAGGCCGGCGGAGCCGTCCTGGGCCGCTCCTGGGTCCAAAAAGCGGGAACCAGAAAGTCCATTGCAGGCCAGGGCCGGCGCCGCTATCCTAGGGAATTTCTGGAATTTCCAAAAATTCAAAAAATTCCAGGCATTCCAGAAATTCCAGAAATTCCAGAAATTCCCGGAAAATCCAAATCCAGAAAATCCAAAAATTCCAGAAATTCCTTGGAATAGCGGCCCGGCCGTGGCTCGCACTGAGAAGGTCGCTGAAAAAACATAGAAAGAAAATGTTTTTTGCCTCCTCGAGCCCTCTCGGTGTCCTCTTGGGGGCCTTGTGGGGCGTCGGGAGAAGCCTCGCGCGCCGTCCGGAGGCCTTCTTGGGCCGTCGTGGAGCGCCCTGAGGCCGCCTCGGAGTCTCCGGGGGCCCCCATCGGGCTGTTCTTGGAGCGGTCGTGGGCCGTTCCGGTGCTCCGTGGGACCGTCCGGAGCCGAAGATTGGATCTTCACGTCGGTGAGAACGCCTAGGTCCGAATTTATGTACGGGTGGCCCTTTCAAGAACATTCGAAGAGGAAAACGTGTATATATATATATATATATATATATGTAGATGTACATCTAAGCATTCTAATTAAATACGCACAAGTATGCAGTCGCGCTTCGCTCCATGCACCTTGGTCCTTGACGTACAGGCAACATGATACAGAGAGAGGTAGATCAATCGAAACAGCCAACGCTCTTAGTAGCAGTGTTCGCCATCACCGCTATCATATCGTCGTTCCCTCTCCTGCCGTCAGGTGTCTTCTTCCTCTTCCTCTTCCCTGACCTCGCCTTATGTACTTGCCTCGCGAACCTTTTCCCCGTCCTCCTTAGATTTGTTTGCGGAGGCTCCTCCGAGGCGAGCTTCTGGAGAGCGCCCAGAAGACAGAATAACCGAGTAGCCCTCCTAAGCCCGTGAGGAATCAACTATTCCTTCGTTTCGAACGCCTGTTGGGGTGATATTTGGGCCGTTTCCGGGCGTCTGGCGGGGGTCCAGGGCCGCTGGGGGCCATCTTGGACCGTCTTTTGAGTCTCTTCTGACCGCGGCCGATACGTTTGCACGGCTTGGCAGGTACTTCCATACATACATACATACATACATACATACATACATACAGACATGCTTACATTCATTCATACATTCATACACGCATACATATCCATACACATACGTTCGTACATACATACATGCATGTACACACATATCCCACATTTATTCATACATACATACATACATACATACAACCATACCGATATGCATATATACATAAATACTTATTCACAGACAGACATACATACACACGTACACACATACATACATGCATGCATATATGGATCCAGCAAAACATATACATACATACAAACATAAAAAACATACATACATGCATGCATGCATACATACATACAGACGCATATACACATATGTATATAGGTACATGCATACACGCATGCGTGCAACATACATACATACATGAATGCATGCAGACATCCATATATACATTCATCCACACATACATACAACAATCATGCGTACATGCAGACATATATACAAACATACATATACATATACATGTATACCTGCATACACGCATGCGTACAACAATTATACATCCATGCATGCATGCATACATCCAT